TGGGCGGTAGGCACACAATGTGATATGCAGATGATGTATTGTAGAATTGTACACTTGAAATCTATATAAACTTATTAACTAATGTCACCCCGATAAGTTTAATAAAAAAATAAAAAATAAATTAAATAAATAAATAAAAGCCTTTTGCTTATATCCCATCTAAAATTTCTAGATGTTTATGGAACATAACCTGAAAACAAAATATGCCTTTAACTTCTAATTCTGTAAGGGTGGTAAACTAACATAATCCGGACATTTAACTTAGTTTATCATCCTGCCAGAACTGAAAGTCAAAAGGTGTATTTTTTCACACATCTCTTCCCAAAGATCCCAGCCTATTTGCTGTTAGTGAACATGATCGACAATAAAAGCAATGTTTTCTATTTAAAATATTCTCAGGATAAGTGTGAAAAGACAAATAGGTTCCAAATGTCTCTACCAAAGAATTACTAAAAATCTTCAAGCACGATACTCAAAATTAATGAGCCTAAATTTAGAGACTGTAATTTAATCTGATTCTTACAGTAACTCAAATAGGGAGTTGTTATTACCTCATTTCACACTGAGGGGACTGAGGCTCAGACTTGTTAGTTAATTCATCATATTTGACCACCTTAAAATACAGGGAAAAAAACAATGCTAAGATGTGGGATTATTTGGGACAAAAATCCAAGCAATAGTATCCAGATGTGGTTCTATGCATGTCTGGAGCGATATACCTTTGGGATCACCGGAATATTTGCTGCCTCCCTCAGGAGGCTTCTCAAACCCAATAAGCACCTTCTTCACTTTAGCCTTCAAGTGTTTGCCTCCTGGCCCCGCCCGATGCCAAAGGAAAGCCAACTTTGACACTATCACATTGTATCCTCATTCCCAGATCCACCGGCACTGTGACCTTACAAATGGAAAATGCGAACATTTCCTCAGCAGACTCAGCGCTGCTCCTGTGGCTAGGACCTGCCCTTTCATTTGGTCAGTGCCTCCTGAGCTCCCCCTTTCCGTATAGGAACAGACGGCATCTCGCCCAGTTCGCATGTCTAAGATGCCCTGCGCTCTCAAAGGCCTCCATGAAGCCTATTTCTCCTACTCGGGGGGTAAGAATAGAGATGACCCTGTCCCAGACTTGTATTTTTAAAGTAATGGCATATGTATCTTAAATCTCCTCATACCAATTCCATGCACACTGTGCATATATGTCTTTTTGTGTGTCCATTCCTATTATTAAAAAATTGCATTACTTGAAAACTTGCTGTTTTAACTGTCAGTCTCCCACAAGCCGCTAGCAGAGTGACTGGCAGGCAGAATTGTGTGGTTAGTGAAAAAACTTGCTGTTATTGGGTAGAGCCCAATGGAATGAATAAGACTTTGAGCAACAGCATTTTTATTCTGAAATCAAACAGCCTCAGATGACTTCTCTTTCCTGTCAAGTTCTGGAGGTTTTGGTGCTTTTCTTGTTTTTGTTTATGTCTTGAATTTTGTACTTTTCTTATATACGCTGAAAGTGAACTAGCCAAGTGTATTTCTTTGGGGGCTCAGGATTTTGCCAGGAGATACCAAGGGATGGATGTAATTCAGTGACATTTTGTCAGGCTGTTAAAGAGTAAATTTTCCTTGACTGTGGCAGGAGGTAATTATTTTTGTTTGTTTGCTTCTGACACAGGGGAAGAAAATTTGGGGTTGTTATTTCAACTATTCCAAGATGCTTTTTGTTCTGTTTGGCAGGAAGGGGAAAAAGCATTTTACTCTTGGAGGAATAACTAGCCTCTGTTTTCTCTGCAGACTTGATGCGCTTTTTAACATGGTGAGCAGTTTTGCAACCCCAGCCTCTTAATGATTTTTCCCTTCTCCCTACATGGACCTCTTGGTCTTCCTGGCATTTGATCTGTAGCACATTCTGTTAGGAAGAGTCAACAGCATGCATGGANATTTGATCTGTAGCACATTCTGTTAGGAAGAATCAACAGCATACATGCCATATCCTCAGAGCAAACACAGCATAGATGTGGCTTCTGCACTCAGGGTTCATGCTCTGGTGGGGGGAGACAGGGATGGACATCTAAACCAATCATAACAATAATAAAAATAATTATATCATCTTTCGATGTAAACAGTTATTTATGCAGATGGTTCTAGAAAACAAGCTCCTTGAATAATATTTTTTGTAATCTAGCTTCCCATACTTTTAAAATTTTAGGTTCTTAATTTAAATGCACCAAAGAATGTATTGCCTATTGAGTAATGATTGGACCCTTTTTAAAATTATTAACTAAAATCTTAGCTAACACCACATTCCTGAAATCTCTCTGAGGTAAACGGTGAGAACCAAGACCTCAGTTCAAGGGCTGAGCTATGCCTATGGCCCCCTTGGTAATTGTTCTCAATGTCTGGCTTTGCAGAGGCAATGGGCTCCCCAGGGGAAAAGCCCTTTCCATACCCACCCCCGCCTAAGCCTTCTCACATGTATCTCACACTTCTTAACAAGGCCTTTGGGATGACTCATTAGAGGGAAAAAATGTTAACCTGCATTGTTCTCAAGCAAGGTTAATTCAAAAGGTACCTGAAATATGAGCATTTGTCATATATATTTAAATGAAAGTCCACCGGGTAAGAATGTATGGGCTTCACTATCAAAGAGACAGAATGATTGTAACAGTAATAATAAAAGAAGCTTTTGAATTCTTACTACTTCGTAGCACTGTGTAGTTCCACAAGTGTTATCTCAGTCATTCTTTACAATGTCACTGGTAGGCAGGTGTTATCCCCATGTCACAGATGGCCCAACTGAGACTTGGCTCCTCAGTGATTCTTGGATATCTTTTCCTTCAAAAGTTCAAGTCACTGTTTCAAAAGGACTTCTTGTGTCACCACCACCACCATCACTACCAAGTCAACAAACTATGTGTGACATTGGCGGTGGCTACAGCTTAGGGTTAAGCTGCGCCCTTCACTAAACGTCTACCAAAGGTAGGCTGTTTTGGGGTTTAACTCCTATCAACTTCCAAACAACATGGAGTTGC